TCTCAGCCTAGAAGCAAATAGCACTGAGCAGTCACAGCTTTCCTAAATTTTACTTCTTCAGGAGGCTTGGGTACCAGATTTTAGCCCTTTTGTGAGTTAGCTCACCTTGGTGTCTTAGTTCAAAAATTGTTGCCAGGTGATTTATCATTTCACCCCATTAAAAAATATCAGTGAGAATTTTAGTAATATATAGGTGGACATGAATGGGATCCCGGGACAACAATCAAGTCAGGGCAACAGATTGGCCACCCCTGCCCTTGAGAATTTTTTAGTATTTTGATAATTCTCTTGGTAACAAAAATGTTGTATTTATTTCATCTATTTAAGAGCTCAGTATGGAACTATTCATTAATAATGGTTTGTAAAAGGATTATCCGTAATAAGGTTAACAGATATTCCTCAATTTATAACCATTCATTTAATGACTGTTTAAAATTACAACTGCATTGAAAACATGACATATGACCTTTTTTCACATTGCAGCATCTCCACAGTCACATGATCAAAATTCAGATGCTTTGCAACTGATTCATATTTATGACAGTTGCAGTGTTCTGGGACCACAGGGTCTCCTTTTATGACCTTCTAACAAGCAAAGCCAATGAAGAAGCCAGATTCACTTAACAACCATGTTACTAACTTAACAACTGCAGTGATTCATTTAACAACTGTGGCAAGAAAGGTCATAAAGTGGGGCAAAATTCACTTAACAACTGTCTCACTTAGCAACAGAAATTTTAGATTTAATTGTGGTTGTAAGTCTAGGACTACTTGTACTGAAGTGTTTATTAATGTAGATTTCCATTAAAAGAGGGCTTTTTTGCTCTTTCTGCCTTTTATGATAGCAAACATAAATAGGACAAATAGAGTGTTAGAGGTGTCATCACAGGATGTAAACTATTAGAATAGAATATAGAATAGAATGTACTTTATTGTCCAAATGTGATTGGACACACAAGGAAGTTGAGTCCGATGCATAAACTCTCAGTTTACATACAAACAACAACTAATCTATTCATAAGATACTAACAGGAGAAGATAGTAGAAAAGATGAGAAGGATAATAGTATTATAGCCTACTACATGTGTAAATATTCTTGGGCATAAGACAGTGCTGGGGTAAGTAGGTGTTCAGGAGAGTGATGGCATGAGGGGAAAAAATGTCCCCGTGTCCAGTTGTTTCGGCATGCAATGCGCTACAGCAGTAACCTGAAAGGAGGAGTTGAAACAGTTTATGTCCAGGATGTGAGGGGTCTATAGATATTTTCTCAGCCCTCCTTCTGACCCATGCAATATACAGGTCCTCAACGGAAGGCAGGCTAGTTGCAATTATTTTTTCTACAGTCCTAGCTATCTGTTTAAGTTAATTATAGAGGTATAAATGACGGACTCAATAATTCCTCTATAGTACTATTCCAACAGCTCCTTGTGTAGTCTGAGCTTTCTGGCAGATTATAACAGTAACAGTAACAGAGTTGGAAGGTTTCTACTGTTGATACTGTGTTGTCTAATATTGTAAGAGATAATAGAATAGGAGGACTCTTCCTAAAATCCACTATCATATCTACAGTTTTAAGTGTGTTCAGTTCCAGATTGTTCCAGCTGCAGCACAGGGTTCAATCTCTGTCTGTATGCAGATTCATCACCATCTCAAATGAGACCAATGACTGTTCTATCATCTGCAAACTTCAGTTCTTTAACAGAGGGATCCTTTGAGATGCAGTCATTGGTACAGAGAGAAATTTCAAGTTACATTACATTCCAATTAATGCTGCCTTTTGCAATTGATTGATGGTGAATTTATCAATACCAACAGTGGTCAAGTAGTGTTCCAATTGTTTTGGAATTGCACCCAAGGCATCTATGACTATTGGTAGGTTTGCTTTCTTTGGCCACACTCGTCCTATTTGCAGGTCTTTGTATTTTTTTTTTTTTATCTTCTCTAGTTCTTACTCTTCTATTCTGCTGTCTCCAGTACTGTCACATCCACTATCCGGTCTTTTTTGTCTTTCTTTTTGACAACTTTTTACGTGGCAGGTGCCTGCCTGTTTAAATTCTAAAGTCTCAGAGCACTTTGGCCTCTTTGTTTTCTATTACTTTCTCTATTTTCTCTAGTAGTAGTAGTAGTAGTAGTAGTAGTAGTAGTAGTAGTAGTAGTAATAGCAGCAGCAACAGCAGCAGCATTTATTTATTGGCAGAGACAAAGACAGGCCTAAAGAGAAGTGGGTGACATTTTTCTCTTGAGATTTATGCAAATTAGAATATACATGTGATTGGATAGAGAAATCAGTTACTTAATAGGATGTAACACATTACATGCCTAGTGAAGCCAAAGAGGCCATTAGGGTATAACTGTGAATCATGGGACAGAACTACAAAAATAACAGGGTATTGTTTGTTTCTAAGAATTACTTTCTTTTTCTTCCCTAAAACTCATCTTGCCCCCAAGTAACTTTTCCCAGCTTATCTGCACTCTTTGGCTTCTGAATGTTGTATGGCTAAACTGACAATGTTACTACAAATTTTTTGTAGTTGGGTAGTTGTCTAATTTGGCACAATATAGCTATATTTTTTTCTCTCTCTCTGGGAAGATGTATTAGAGGCTTTAACTTGGCACCACAAAATCTCCTACAATTCCCTCCTCTGAAGTTTGACATATTTTATTATTTTAAGCTTCATCATCCCTCAAAGATGTTCATGTCATGCAAGGTGTTGATTGAAGGTCCAATCATTATGGTACTGGTTGCTGGTGGTCCTTCAGATCCGCTTCAAGGTGCTGGTTCTCAACTACAAGGCCCTTCATGGAATGGGCCCGGGGTACTTGCAGGATCACCTCCTACCGGCCTCCCACTGCCCAGTGCACTCACATAGGGCTGCCCTCCTCCGGGTGCCATCGGCCAGATAATGTCGGCTGACGGCGCCCAGGATGAAGATGTTCTCTGTGGCTGCACCGACCCTCTGGAATGAGTTACCCACCAGGCTCTGGACGGCCCCTGATCGCCGTTCCTTCCGCAAAGACTTGAAGACCTGGCTTTTTAAGCAAATTGTCTAATTCTGTTTTGGGAGTTTTAATTAATTGTGGGATTTTAATTGAATCTTTTAATCTTTTAATCTTATTTATTGTTAATCTTATTTATTGCTGTTTTATTGTGATTTTATTGTTGTGAGCCACCCCAAGTCCTTCAGGAGAAGGGCGGCATATAAATTTTAATAAAATAAAATAAAAATAAATACTTAATCTGACCAATGATTCAGCTTAAACTCCAATGCATAAAATGACCGATGGTACCATCAGCAAAGCTATAGTAGTCATAAGAGGCTGAACCGGGACATAAAAATCAATTCCAAACATAGTTAGCAAACCAATTTGCCATCCTGCAGACATTGCTTAACGATGTGAACATGGAAGAAAACCAGATATCTGAAGCTCTATCTATTACTGTATCAAAAGCATGTGCTAGTTCGTATGACTCTGAACATAAGTATGGATCTTGGAGAATGCCTAGATTTGGTAGACAAAGCCAAACAAGCCAAAATGTTACAGTGCCCAATAAACTGTGAAACTTTTCATCAAGAAAAGGAAGAGGGTGACATTAAAACATTGTGGATCTGAAAGATACTATGCAAAAACATGAGCCTTATGAACTCTTTATCTTTCTCAGATGCCTAACTGGAAGGAATAAGTCAACATAGAATAATATATATAAGTTGATATTTGAACATGTATAAATTATGTTTCTAGGGTGTATTTCACCATAAATATATTCTATTTAGCATTTCAGTTTACTAAATTGTCAGTATCATTGTACTCATTTTTCTTTCTATCTTCAGATGATCTAGAAAATAATTATTTAATAATTATCTTTAAAAATTAATAATATCATATCTTTAAGTAATTGAGCTATTTACTGTTAGGTTTCAGGGTGATTTTTTAAAACTTGTTTCAACATCTCCCTCCCCCTCCTCTTCCCCTTTCATTAAAAGAAATATGCAGCAGTAAAATCTCAACAGCCATTTAACAATATATGCAAATGTTCTAAATAGCTTTGAAGCAGACAAGAAGAAAGAGTAGTTCTCCCAATAAGCTTGGATGCATACAAAGTCTTTTCCATAATGAATGTGGCCAGATTTTAACAAAGACCATGCATAATAAAAATGTAAATGAGTTTGCTTTACTAAAAGTATAACTTTAAAGTCTTTTGTTGTATGCTGTCCCGAAACTTTTCTACGAGGTTATCACTGCTTGCATGGAGATTTACCCAAAACCTTCAATGGCATTTAAAAAAAAAAAAAAAACCTCCAAACCCAATAGCCTATGTGTGATGTGCATGCAAAACTGCTCTAAAGCTGAGAATATGAATTGGCTCTGGGTGGCTTCAGCACGAAGCAAAAAGCCAACTATATTGCCATAAGACTGCCTGACGGACTCCATGTGGCTCCCAGCCTGGAAATTTCTCCAATTTTGACATGTGATGTACTCGTCACTGCAATGGCAGCCCTGTCACTGAGAAATGGCACAAAAGACAACAAGGCACCCCCTCCCTCTCCTTAGCCCTGCACATTGCAGCCCCCTGGAGCTGTCTGCCCATGGTTTCCCTGGCCTGCCTAGTTACAGACGGCCCTTCTAAACCGAGAGATAAGGGTGGGTGGACTGGATAGGCCCCAGCTGCCTTTGGGATGCAGCTTCCACAATAAATTGGCCTGAATGATGAGGGCAAACAAACAGTATGATATGTATTATGCCTGTCAATAATACATCCCCACATGTTTCCGTCTTTGTATGAGCGGGACCAAAGCTTTTCTTCGGCAAGTTCTACTTCGTCTCCTAGATTTTCCTTCCATTCATATTATAACTTACATGACAGGATTCAGAAATTTTTATGATAGCGGCATTGTATAACCATTGTGTGTCCGTCCCCCACCCATCCCAGCATCAGATTTACATTTTGTTGTTCTTTTATGCCTCTTGCTTTAGAAATAGATGGCTTCTTAATCTTTCAGCTTCAACGTGAAGGGTACGTTGATGTGGAATGGCATCGGCAACAGATGCGAGAGTTGAGAGAGCAAATAATTAGCCTGACTGAAAAAAACACACAGCTTCAAGAAACTGTGAAACTGGGAGTGAAAGAACAGACTAACTTAGGTAAATTTTACTTGTAAATCAAATAAAGTATATGCAGGAAAAGAGAAAGAGAAGTAGTGAGAAAATTAAATGGCAGAATAGTGTCTAATCAGCAATTGTTCATTTTTTTTCCAATTTGCCCTGTAATTTGAGTTGGTCTTGAACTTTGATAGACTTAGTGGAGTTAATTGATATTGAATATGTGCTTATTTTCTGGTTTTTATTCTGGTAAAAAGAAGGTATGTTATCTATGAATATCAAAATTGACTATTTATAGATTAATAATTATTTCTACTTCTAATAAGACAACTCTGAGTGGCTCAGCAGACTAAAAGCATTGTGATTAACACCAGCTGTCTGCAATTACTGTTAGTTTGAATCTCACCAGGCTCAAGGTTGACTCAGCCTTCCATCCTTCTAAGGTAGGTTAAATGAGGACCCAGTTTGTGGGAACAATAAGCTAACTTTGTATAAATATACAAAAGTATGAAGGCTATTGCTTAATGCATTGTAAGATGCCCTGAGTGTCCAAAGAAGGGTGGCATATAAATCAATTTTTTTAAAAAAAACTCCTACTAAATAATAAATGAACAAATTTTGGAAAATGTCTATTAATGTGATATATACATATGTGTATATAGCATAGGTTTTCTTCTCCTTGAAGCACATTGGAAAGTGCAAAATTAGAAATTCGCAATCATGTGTCATTTCTGCTTCCTGGAAATTAAAAAGTTTTAGAACAATTAAGTCCATATCAAAACCAGATTTAAAGACATATGAATGATAACAAAGAGCAATGACGAACATGTAGCAAAAACAAAATACAGAAATATGATACTATTGGATGGGAATATAAATGAGCACAAAGCCAACATTTTTGCAGTTTTATCATCTCTGATGACTTGACCATATCTCTCGCAATATTTAGAACCACCTGCTAAAGCATTTTGTATCAGCTGTGACTAACAGCACGAATGAATATTAATGAAAAGCAAAGGGTGCTTAGACACACTTGGCTCTTGAACTTATTTCTTAATCTCCCTCTCTCTCTGACTAGCCAGCTGAACAGCAGGCAGAATTCTGTGAAGGTCAAGGGCAGTTGTGAAGGTCACCAGTCTGCCCACTGCCTTCATCTACCATGCACCCGACTGACCTGCAGTGCACAATATGAATCTATTCAAATAGCCATGTAATTTCATGGTGTGCTTTATCCCTGCCTTACCTTTGCTTCTTTCAGAGAACGAAATAAAACTTTTGCAGAACAAAATGGAAAAAGATATGAAGACAATGGAAAAGGTACTATATCCTTTACTTATTTATGTCTGTAATTGATTAACTTGTACAATAGATGCAGGAGTCTAGGAATTCACTAAAAAAAATATTTAAAAGATGATCACTACCATTCTACTGTTCCAAGCTTGTTACCTTTTATAAATTGTTTTCAAAATATAGGATTTCTGTGGAAATCTTGTGTCCTGAAGTTAATCTGGATTAGATGCAGGATGGAAAAGCAGAATGAAATACCAAATAATATAAATGAAAAGTAATACAATGCTCCTGATTTGCCAACTTTGGTGCTATTCCATATAATAGGAATTTCATCTGATTGAATTTTTGGAAACAGAATGGAATAATTGATAAAAATAACAATAATAATTCATTATTCATAATCATAAATATGATTTATATACATTAGAGCAGGGGTCCGCAACGCCCGGTCTGTGACGTGGTACTGGTCTGCAGCCCATTGAGAACTGGGCCGCACAAGTGATAGACGAGTGCGGGAAAGCTCCATTTGCATAAGTGGCAGGTGTGCATGCGAAACCATCCCCTTCCCTGCTACTGCTGCCAATCTGCAGAGCTGGAAAGGTTGGGGATCGCTGCATTAGAGGAATTTTCTAAGTAGTCAAGAGAAAAGAAGTTAGTAAATAAAATTAAACATACGCTTTTTAAAACTTCCAAGTTGGTAATGGGTGAAAGGATGTAAAGCAGTGGTGGGTTGCTACCGGTTCGCCCTGGATTGGGCGAACCGATAGCGGCAGACTAAGGAGGTTCCACCCACCCACCCGGATGCTTCTGCGCATGTACAGAAGCGTCACATGCGCAAGCGCCTATGAGCGAACCAGTAGCGACGGGTTTTGAAACCCACCCCGATGTAAAGGACTTTTCTTTGTTAGCTTTAGATCAGGTGTGTCTAAACCATGGCCTATGGGCCACATGCAGCCTTGGACAGCTAGTAGTGCAGCCCCGCAAGATCATAAACTTTAACATGATTATGAGATTATATCAGAGGTAGGTTTCATCAGGTTCTGACCAGTTCTGGAGAACCAGAATTTAGTGGGAATTTTGAGAAGTTTGGAGAACTGGTAATAAAAATTCTGACTGGCCCCACCCCCATCTATTCTCTGCCTCTCAAATCCCAGCTGACCAGCTGGAAATGGGGATTTTGCAGTAACCTTCCCCTGGAGTGGGTTGGGAATGGAGATTTTACAGTATCCTTCCCCTTCCACACCCACCAAGGCACACCACACCCAACAAGCCACGCCCACAGAACCGGTAGTAAAAAAAATTGAAACCCAACACTGGATTATATATACATTAACTATACATTATATACATGAACTATATTATATATAGCCCAAGACAATTCCACTTCATTCAATGCAACCCAGGCAAGCCAAAAGGCTGGACGCCCATGCTTTTCACTTTGGACAGAGTAGTATTTCTGAAAGTGGGATTGAATTAAATTGCAGGAAAATGTTTCAATGATAAAAAAAGTGGGGGAAGGAAAGTCATACCTGTTGGGTTTGTGGAGTCTAACAGTCATTCTGTTGAAGGTGGCTTTGATTTCCTCCTTAAAGTTTATTTTTATAATTTCACTGCTGAAGGAATAAAAAAAATCAGAGATATTTTAAGCCTCATCTTTAAAACCAGTACTTAAGAACAATTCAGGTTTAGAATTATGTATGAGGACAAGGAAGGAATATGGACAAGGAAATTGATATTTATGTTCTTTAATGTCTCAGATAAGAATTTGTTCACATTAATGTCTTCCAGAAGCTTGGTTGACTGTAAATGTCCTGGACAAAAATGTGTCCCTTTGTAAAAAAGGAGATATATTACCACTATAATGTGGCTTCTCCGAAAATGTTCAGAGAGAGAGAGATTGTGTCATTCAGATTGTTATCATTCAGATCAATGCATGTATAATATAGAGTTAGATAAATTCAAGCAGCCAAAAAGCTTGGAAGATTCAACAAGAATCTTTTTCATCTTTTTCATTTTCTATTGGATCCAAGTAATCTGATGGCAGTAGAGCAGGGGTGTCAAATTTGTGGGTCACAGTGATGTCACGTGACATATTGGGATTTTTCCCCCCCTTCACTAAAGTGGGCATGGGCTTGGCCAAAGTGTGATGTATCTGGCCTGTGGGCCGCAAGTTTGACAGCCCTGCAGTAGAGAATTTTATCTGGTGTTTTTTGTTTTGTTTTTTTATTTGATCTATATCCCGCCCTTCTCCGGAGACTCAGGGCGGCTTACAATGCGTTAAGCAATAGCCTTCATACTTTTGTATATTTTATACAAAGTCAGCTTATTGCCCCCACAAACTGGGTCCTCATTTTACCTACCTTAGAAAGGATGGAAGGCTGAGTCAACCTTGAGCCTGGTGAGATTTGAACTTGCAGTAATTGCAGGCAGCTGATGTTAATAACAGTGCTTTAGTCTGCTGCACCACCAGGGCTCTTGATGGACTAGTTCTGACTAATAGCAAATACTGTTCTACTCCCTGCCAATACTTCTGAACTGAAGAGCTGGAGAATTAAAAAAATTAAATTCCTTTAAGTTTCCTTTAATTTGTTAAGTTTAATATAATTTTTCAATGCACATATTTCCAGACAACTTCCAAAACATCTATTTTTAAAAAAAGCTTTCCTCTAAAGCTCCATAATTGTTTTTTTTTAATTAGTTAATAAATGCTCACGACTTACTGAAGGCAGAACTTGACAGAGAGAAGGAAAAAATGCAAGGAAAGGCTCAGGTAAGATTCTCTTCAAAACAATTAAACTTTTAAATCTTTTTTGTTTTCAGTCTGCCTCTCCTAAGCCTGGAAAACAGACTGTTGCTACAATATCTGTACAAATGTTATGCCCAATATTTCACTCTTCAGATTTCCTCATTAACATTTATTAATTCAAAAATCATGCTTCAATTTGCATATTAACTTGACTAATTTAATGCCAGCAGGCTCCCATCATCAAATTAAATAATAATATTACTGTATATTTGGGAGAGATGTGTATTGCCTTTGAAAACTGGAACTTTCAAAACAGCTTGGTGTAGTGTCTATTGTGAAGAGTACAGGTGAAACTCGAAAAATTAGAATATCATGCAAAAGTTCATTTATTTCAGTAATGCAACTTAAAAGGTGAAACTAATATATGAGATAGACTTATTACATGCAAAGCGAGATAGTTCAAGCCTTGATTTGTCATAATTTTGATGATTATGGCTTACAGCTCATGAAAACCCCAAATTCAAAAATTATTTATTTGCTCAAAATGAGATGTCTAATTGCCATGTAATACTCTACAAAAAGAAAATAACTATGAAGCCATTTCCCCAACATTGCCTTGTGGATAGTAATCACTACAGGGAATAGAATTATAGTAAAAACTATTTTATGGAAGTTTGAAGGATTGGGGATTATTTTTATAGGAAGGAAGAGGAGGAGGAGAAGGAATCATTTTATCTGCCCTTGATTTTAAATATTCATTTTAATTTCCTGCAATCTGATATGTTTGCAATTCTTTCAGCTAGCAAATTTAAAAGAGCTCAATCAATAACATCTTACTACAACAGAATCCTCAGAAATGTAATGATAAACTAAAATCCTTCATGGTTAAAAAAAGATCATGTTGATTAAAAACATGTTGATTAAAAATAATAAATATTAGTTTTGTTGTATTGATATTGCTAATTTAGCAATATTTGCTAGAATTATTAACACAAGATGAATTAATTTGTAGTTTTTAAGAAGATACTGAAATGTATGTCTTATAACATCCGTTGGTTAAATATTTTTGTAAAATACTTTTGTCCTTAATTCTTTATAAGTGCAAGAAAAGTCACATGTGAGAACATCATTGATTATATTGGAACTTGGTTCTATACATTAGTTTGATTGTAAATCAAAGAAAATAAACATTTCCCTTCTAGTACTAGAGATTTCATCACCACATTTGTTACTGCAATTATGTTCAATTCTATTTTATCTTTATTTTTAAGGAAATAAAAGAAGCTCAAGATGTTCACCCAAAGTTAAAAGAAACTGGAGCTCAACCACTAGCAAAGGTAATTTAGTCTATTGACTGTGAATGGATTTTATTTTATTGTAATGGTAGTCCTTAACTTATGACCACAAGTGAGATCAAAATTTCCATTGTAAGTAATTGCAGCTGTAAGTCAATGTTAGATCCAATGTTACAACAATTTTTAGAATGATTGTTAAGCAAATCACCTGGTCATTGAGTCATGCTGTTGTTAAGCAAATTCAATTTCCTCAAAGGGTTTTTTTTACCAGAAATCAGTAAAAAAAAAAGGTCACGAATCATGACCAAGTAATTTTAGGACACTATTCTTAAGTAGAAGCCAATTGTCAAGTACCCAAATTGTGATCACATGACCATGGGAGTGGTACATTGGTTGTAAGTGCAAGGACAGGTTGGAAGCCCTTTTTTCTGAAGGGCTTTATGACTTTAAACAGCCATTAAGCAAATGGTTGTAAGTCAAAGACCACTTTCCATATTTAACATTTTATTTTGCTGTTTTTGAATTAAACACATTTCAGCTCCTTAGTCAAATTTAATGGAACATAGAAGTGATTGCATAGGTTACCTGAAGAAAACTTTATACAATATTCTGTGTTAACAATAGATGAGGGATCTTACCAAAGGAGGCCAAAAGTTTTGTCTAGCCCAGTGCTGTTTCCAGCTGTGGCCAGTCAAACATTTCCACTGATAAGACATGAAGCTAACAGACTGCCTTTGTTTGCTATTCACAAGTCTGATTAAGAACATTAAAATCCATTTAGCTAATAGCTACATCCAAGATTTTAGAAATAATTGCATAAGGATACATAAATATTAATATATAAATATATATTCTTACATGGAAGATATATGTTAGATGTAAATAATAAACTAATCCTAACTACATAGAGGAGAAAAACAATGAGATCAAAGGAACCACATTCTTTATAATTTGTTTAAAAATAACTATAGAAAAAAAAACCCAAAAGCAGAGCATGGAAGCTGTTCACTGAGGATTGAACATGATGATTGAAGATGATAGGAAACAAAGTTTCACAAAACATGCCTTGCTCCATATTTGTTTTCGGTTGCTTCTCAAAAAATTATGAGTATATTTAAAAGTTCAGATTATATGGTTTTGCACCTGAAAGTCTAGCAAGACTTCATAAAACACTTTGTGCAATGGCCATATCTTAAGCAAGTTTTAAAAGGCCAAATATTTGCAACTGATCATTTTATTATAAAATCTTCTTTATGGTTCTTTAACATTTTTTCATGCAGCATGTTCCAATATATGGATGAGTCAGTATGTGCTTTAAATAATAAAGGATTGTTTTTGTATTCCTTCCTAAAGATATTCTTAATATGGGGTTTGATAAAACTGTGTTTGACTAAAGGCTACTGTTATCCTACACCTTTCTCAAACTTCAAATAAAGGCACACAGCAAGCAAGTGCTCAGAAGTTAATATCTAAATCCATGTATAACTCACCTGCTCCTTTGATGCTGCATTGGCTGCAAGAGGAATTTGCTTTCCTTTATTAATCAAACCTATATTTGTAAAAGTGTGACATGTAGTGGGAAAGTCACACATGCTGAGATTATCTGGACTGGAAAGCAGTCCCTGAAAGAAAGGAGAGAAATATGATCAATTAATTATAATGTGGTAAATAGTTTTGAAATATCTGTGATTTGTTTTCAGATAAAAAAAGTAATGTGTTATCAAGATGTTTGTGTTTGCTACTTTTAAGAGGGTAACTCAGTAACTAATATATCAGTGTCATTATTCCGTTAAACATGCATTTCTAATAAATCATTTTGTAGCATCAACTAAGAGTTACAGCTCTAGGCTCCGACTTATGAGAAGGTACACTTTGCTTTGAGTTTGATGTGGTTTAAAACCATTATGAGTGGACTTTTTGGACTTAAGCATGGGAAGGGAATGCCTTGAACTGGGACTGAAAGATGTATTTTAAATTTGGAAAAAATTTGTTATTAATACAGCAAACCTAGAAAGAATCAGATAGTCAAGTGAATTTCTTTCTATATAAAAATCATTTTTCTTTGAAAGACATATATTTTAAAGGTAGGAATAATACTTTCTTCCAGTCCACCTTCCTCATTTACTTCATTTTAATTCATCGTACGACACTCCTGTATTTATATATTTGGAAGTCAGCTCTTCAAAGATCGTTTTGAATCCCAGGAAATGACAGCATGTTTCCAGTCCCAGGAAATGACAGCAGTTTCCAGAAAAATACATTTAAAAAAATCAAAGATAATAAGGAGCTATGGGCAGAGATGAAGCGAATAATGATTCACCCTATTTAACAAATGTAAAGCTGAAAAGTCTGAACCCAGGATTTTCTGAGTCACCATTATTACAGAAAGACAAACATTCATATTAGGAAACAAAGCATGAGTTGGTGAGATGAAGTCAGAGATGCTACATCTTATACCTCAAGGAGGACCTTTGCATAGTTTTGTCTGATGTGCCAATTGCGCCTCTCCTGGATGGGAGGCCTTGTTCATAAACATTTATACCTTAGTCACTTCTCACTTGGATTGCTGTAACGCTCAGGGCTTCATTAGAAGATCATCTAGAAGCTACAACTGGTTCAGAATGTGACAGTGTGCACAGTGATGGGTGCTCCTAGATTTCACCATGTAACGCCTCTGTTGTGTGAGCTCCACTGGCTCCCATTTTCCTCACAGGCGTAATTCAAGTTGCTGATTATTATTTTGAAAGCCTTATATGGCACAGGGTCAGTTATGTGAGGTACTGCCTCTCCTTAAGGTCACTTATCTATCCTACAAAGTCAAATAGGATGGGGACACTTCTACTCCCTTCTCTTAAATATTGCCATCCTTCCGTCACAGTCTGCTGAAAAGTACTTAAAACCTGATTTTTTCCCCCAAATGCAAAATACATTAAATGCAAAGATAGGGTGAGTCTGATGGGCTGAATGTGAAAGTGCACTTGGTGCCAGGTTATAAGGTTGGTTTTTTTATATATACATTTTTAATAGATTAATGTTATAATGATGTTGTTTTTTCGGAGTAACCCAGAGTTTGATTTAAAATGGGCAGCTAGCTCAGAAGTCTTCAAACTTGGCAGCTTTAGGACTTATGGACTTCAACTCCCAAAAATTTCCAGCCAGCTATGCTAGGAGTTGAGGTCCACAAGTCTTAAAGCTGACAAGTTTGAAGACCTCTGAGCTAGATAAATGCTTTAAACCAGCAAATAAATAAAGTGTTCTCTTTAACAAAACAATAATCCCAAAACCCACTGTCCCATCATAGCCCACACCAAGTATCTATTCCTAATTCACTTAATATGTATAATTAAACACTGCCTAGACTACCAGCTCTGGGATGCAAAAATCCAAACAGCCAATAAATGACGCAAAAAAAAACAAAACATACAGAAAACTAACTCTTTGCTGTCTTCTATTAGCTGCCCTGATTTTTGCAGTACAGCTTTTTATGTGAGAAGGTTAGTAAACAGAATTATCTGGATACTTTGGGCTGTTATTCAGAGGCATACTGGAAACTGTGCAATGAAGTTCATGAAGCAGCATAAGAAAAAATAGAATATAATTGTGGTTAAACATATGTACGCTTTGTTCAATATTTGTCTTCTAACACAGATTTAGTGAAGTAGCTGGAATTATGGGTAGATACAGTAGTGGGCACCTGTCAGGATTTCAAAAGGTTCCTTACACCTTATATTTGTATATATCTAAGCAGTATTTGTACAAGAAAAAATATTTTGTATTAAAAAATAAAAAGCAAAGTAAGTTTAATATGTTTTAATCAGCACAAGTTCTTGAGTTGCCTGATGCTTGCATATATATTACTACAGTTGTGTAATACATTTGTTTAGCTGTCAAACAATATAGGTCAATCAGGAAACATAGTTGTTAAACAGTTCTTCACAAAGGAAAACTGTTTTATTAAGTGATTTATTATGTGCAATCAGATTGGTATTGACTCTCAATGACTACATAGATAGACCTATTCCAGGATGATTTGTCCTCAGATTAGGCCCTTCTGATCTTCTAACAGTGCACCCATTGCTCCTGCAATCAAATCTATCCACCTTGATGCTGGTCATCCCCTTCTCTTTCCTACTACTTATATTTCCCAGCTTTGTTTGTTTGTTTATATGTATCCCACCTTTATTATTTTTATAAAAAAAAATCCAAGGTGGCAAACATAACCAATGCACATTTCTCCTCCCATTTTCCCCACAGCAGCAATCCTATGATGTAAATTGGGCTGAGAGAGAGTGACTGGCCCAAGGTTACCTTTTCTAGCCTGATGCTTAGCCATTAGACCAAATTGACTCTCATTATAGACTATAGTTATACCCAAAGTATGATCCTTGAGCCTGGTCATTTGGACCTTAAATGAAAACTCCAGACTGATTTGTTCTATATTTGTTTATTTCTTAGCTATCCATCTCTTCTCAGGGGTTTCTCCAACATCAAAGTTCAAAAGCATCAATATCCTATTTCTTCAAAGTCCAACTTTTCTCCATATAGAATTATAGAGAAAACCACTGACTATTCGGTTTTGATCTCTGCAGGTATAGGCACATTGTGACATCTAAATATATTTTCTTGGTTGCCATCCTACCAAGTGCTACTCTGTGACGTATATTGGAATGTTGCTGTTGATAGTCAACACTAAAAGGCAAAATTTTACATTTATTCAAGAAAAACCAAAGTCACAGGTATAGAACAGATGGTACCTGGTTCAACAGCAATAATTTTGAGAGGGATGTAGGGGTTCTAGTGAACAAATATGAGCCAGCAGTGTGCTGCAGCTGCCAAAAAAGCCAATGCAATGCTAGGCTGCATTAACAGAAGAATGATATCAAGACTATATGAAGTGTTACTTCCACTTTATATTTCACTGGTGAGATATCACACTTGGAATACTTTATCTAGTTTTGGTCAGCACGACACAAAAAAGATGTTAAGACCCTAGAAAGAGTGCAGAGAAGAGCGATAAAGCTGATTAGAGGACTGGTGGCTAAACCATATAATGAAGAGTTACAGGAACTGAGAATGTCAAGTCTAATGAGAGAAGGAGTAGGAATGAGATGATAGCATTACCAAAAATAAGACCAGGACTCAGAAAGGTATTTAAAGGCCAGTGCTCCCCCAGACAAGCACAATCCAAAGCGCACTGAAGATGTCTCCTCAAATGGGGATGAAACGTTCATAACCAAATCACCAAGCTCAGAGCTCAAATCAGCAACATAGCTACCAACCCAAACTACTAATATACAAAGACATTTCATAGAGCATTTTTGGTGTTTCATCTTGCAGTTTTAAAACCACACTGATTTTCCAGTTCAGCTTCCTTCCTATATATTCATCATATAGATTGAAAAAAAAATTAAGAGAGAATATACAGCCTTGTCTCGCTGTTTGCCAACCTGGAGCAGCCTATTTTGCCATATTGTGAAAGGCAGGAATCCAGGCGGCGATTTCCTGTCTAGTCTTTAGGTTTCACACAAGGAAATATGATGTTCTGGGATTGCCATTTTCTTAAGCACTTTCCACAGGTTGACGCAGTTGAGGCAGTTGAAGTCTTTTCTATAATCAATGAAGGACATACAAACTTCTTTTTAGTGTTCTTTGGCTTTCTCAATTATTCAGCACAGATCAGCTATAATGTTTCTTGTTCGCTGAACATTTCTAAAGCAAATATCAACATTTGGCATCTCTCTCTTTCTATGTAGCTCTCTAACCTGCATAATCATTATTTTGCTAACATGTGAAAATTACAATTCGATCTAATTGATTGAATACTCTGTAGCTCTCCTTTCTTGATATTGGTACATAGACTTACCTTTTCCATTTTGTTGGCCACTGTATTCTCCAAATTTCCTGTATAATTTTGTTAGAATCTTTCTGGATCTTCTTCTGTTGCTTCCATATTTGTGTAGTGTATTTGTGTAGTTTTTTCCGTCAATTTTGTAAACTTCCAACTTGGTAATGACCAGAATGCTGATTCAACATCACCTTCTAGTACTGGAGGCTCATATGATCAGCAAGTATTTTTTTAAGTTATCTTGAATGCTGATATCTCTACTGTACAGAATTTTAGTACAGGTAGTTCTCAATTTACAACCATTCATTTAGTTGTAAAATTACAACAGCCTTGAAAAAAGTGACTTATGTATTTTTTCATACTTAACAACAGTTGCAGCATGGCATGGTCACATAATTAAAATTCAGATCCTTGGCAACTCGCAAGTTTTCAATGGCTGCACTGTCCTGGGATCATATGATCACCTTTTGCAACCTTCTGACAAGCAAAGTTAATGGGGGAAGACAGGTTCACTTCATAACCATGTGATTCACTTAACAACTGCAGTGGCTGACTTAACAACTGTGACAAGAAAAGTTGTAGAATGGGGCAAAACTCACTTAACCACTGCCTTGCTTAGCAATGGAAATTTTGGACTCAATTATGGTTGTAAATCAAGGACTTCCTGTATATTCCATCCATCTTTGTTTCATATTCTTTGAACCACTTACTATCCCATTCTTTGGCAGCAATCACAATATAATACAGGCAACCCATCATTTCTATTTGCTGAGAATGCCTCTCAGATTACCTAGGATGCAGAAGCATTTTTATAGAGCCGTGTTTTTATAGAGCCATTTTTAAGAGCCGCAGTGGCACAATGGTTAGAATGCAGTACTGGAGGCTACTCCTGCTGACTGCAGGCTGCCTTCAATTTGTAGTTCAAATCTCACCAGGCTCAAGGTTGATTCAGCCTTCTATCCTTCCGAGGTTGTAAAATGAGGACCCAGAGTGTTGGCGGCAATATGTTGACTCTGTAAACCACTTAGAGAGGACTGTAAAGCACTGTGAAGCAGTATATAAGTCTAAGTGCTATTGTTATTGCTATATTTCATTTTATTCTAGAGGTTAGCATCTCATTTGACCACATTTAACTTCCTAATTGTTTGTGTATTTTAAAACTATTACATAGCTCTGATTGGCACCAGACGAGATACTGTACCTTGCAGGTATACTGAGAATCAAAGACACCAGGGTAGAAACTTAGAGTAATTTTTAGAAACTCAGAATACTTTCTTTAACAAACCTTGGTTTTAAAAATTCAACTTTAGAATCTGTTGAAGACCATTTCTCTGATTTAAAGTTAATATATACATAAGACTGAAAATAATATACAACAGCAATAAAATTCTGTTGACATATTTAATAGTTTAAGGCAGAAATAACTAACTTTTCTCCTACTAAAGGGCCATATTCATTTCTATTGTTGCTTTGTTTTCCAAAGTCTGCAGTGAGCATCCTGTGTATAAAGCTCATCTCATCTCAAATGCATTTCATCTGCAACAGAGGGATATCATAGGCACTTAACAGATCAGATTTGTCCTGTGGAGTGAAGATTAAAAATAGTTTTAGCCCATTGTGTTCCTCCGCCCACATTAGTTTCCTTATCTGACTTGCCTTTTTCATCCTAGCTGTGCATCAGCTATTTATTGCTGTTTTTAAATCTGATTTTGTTACTTTGACAATGCTGTGACTGGACTAGACAGCTCCATTACCTTATAAATTGCCATTCAGCCTTCCAAAGCTTGTTATTATTATGTTTTATTCATTTCTAATATTTATACCCCTAAACCCTAAGAAGCAGGAATCTGAAAGAAGTTCTCTGAAACAGCCATCAAAGGATGAACAAAGGTGAGAGCAGGTGAGTTTCCCTTGGGAGAATATTTGAGATGCTAGACAAGATCCACCACACACACACACACACACACACACACGCACACACACACACACACACACACACACAACTAGCCAAGCTTTGAAATGAGATTTCTATCAGGGCTTAATGCCTGATAGCTATCTTACAAAAAGCTTCCATGTCTTAAATGGAAGGATTATTAATTGTATTTTATAGAAAGTCTCAGATCTGGATGGAGCAGTGAAAAAGGGCCGGAAAAAAAGCTTGAAAGGGAAAACTGTCAAAGAGACAGCTAGTAAAGAGGCAGTTCTTAAAGTAGTAACCACCAAAGACACAACAACCAAAGAAGCAGGCGCCAAAGAAGCAACCGCCAAAGAAGCAGCCACCAAAGGAGATGGGACAGGTGAAATTTCGGATGAGGTATTGAGCTGTTTTTCTAAGCTAAGACAACCCTGATTCCCCAAATCACATTTTCATCCTCAGATGCAGGATTGCCCTCATAACTTTTCTCAAAGACCTTTGTAACAAAAGGGCAAGATGAAGAGGGAGCAAGGAATTTTCGAGTTTTCCTTGGGTTTATCCTGACAGGTGGTGTGTTTCACACTAGCATTTCTCATTAGGTGTTCAAATTGAGAAAACTACTCTAGAGAAGATTCATCTTTTCTCTGGATAAAAAACCAAAAAGTGAGATTAGGCTAAGATTTATTGGTTTCGTAAGGATGTATTAATCAGTTTAATAAGCAACAACATGCAGAAACTCTGTAATCATGTTTGTTTGTTTATTTTGTTTGTTTGTTTGTTTATTTCATTTATGGGCCGCCCATTTTACCTCATGCTCTGTCTTTTCAATAATTTTTCCTTCCTTGTCACAGTTTTCAATTAATCACAGTTTCCCATAATATCAACTACCAAACTGCTTTTCAGTACTGAAATAAGCCAGAAATAGAAATTGTTTTAGTCAACTGTAATGTCCTGCTTGGACATAACTGAAGTTTTGTTGGATAATTACTGAGAACAAAAGAAGAAATGAACAGAATAACAATGGAGAATATATTTAACTCAGTCAATTATGCTAAGCCCTCTTTCTCTCTCTTCAAACCAGGCCAGCAAATGAACAAAAATATAAACTCTTTTTAGTTAGAATTCAAATTACTGGACACTTTACCAGTAGATTATGAGTGGAGCAGCTAATGACCTCTAGACTTTCTAAAGCTTTAACAAGACCAGTTAGCATGGCCAGAGACTGTGGAAGTTGGAAGCAATGTTCTCCACTAGGGTAAGGTACCCCTCGCACATATGTGCTAGTCGTTCCTCACTCTAGGGGGCAGTGCTCATCTCTGTTTCAAAGCTGAAGAGCCAGCGCTGTCCAAAGATGTCTCTGTGGTCATGTGGCCAGCATGCTAAATGCCAAAGGTGCACGGAACACTGTTACCTTCCCACCAAAGGTAGTCCCTATTTTTCTACTTGCATTTTTTACGTGCTTTTGAACTGCTAGGTTGGCAGAAGCTGGGACAAGTAATGGGAGCTCACCCCATTACGTGCACCAGGGATTCGAACCGCTGAACTGTCAATCTTTCGATCGACAAGCTCAATGTCTTAGCCACTGAGCCACCGTATCCCCCCTCCACTAGGGAAGCAGGGCCTAATAACAAAAGCAGCATTGCGTCTCTAAGTCCCATCTTGTTTGTCAATGACACTTCAGAAATTTAGGAGACGGCAGTTTTGATGAAGATAATAAGATCTGGCAGATGTCCTTAGTTACTGCCATTTGTAGACAATGGACATCATACTCCTGATCTTCACAAATCACTACCTTTTTCAATAGCATTTGAACTAATCTGTTTTTACATGTCATCTTTCTTATCTAGAAATAACAATAACAGTTTTAGATTTTTAAACAAGATGTAGGCTTCTGAATAAACCTGCTGTACATACTGTAAGTACATATTGCTTTCCAAGGCTTTTGTATAGCCTTCTCAGCTGCTGCTTATTTTTGGTTAATAATTACATTCAGTAGTTTTAATGTGGTGTATGGTAGGTAAACTTTTTACTACAGGTAGTCCTCGACTTACAACCAAAATTAAGCCCAAAATTTCTGTTTTGGGAGAGACATTTGCAGAGTGAATTTTGCCCCATTTTATGACTTTTCTTGCCGTGGTTGTTAAGTGAATCACTGCAGTTGCTAAGTTAGTAACATGATTGGTAAGTGAATCTGACTTCCCCATTGATTTTGCTTGTCAGAAGTTCAAACAAGGTGATCACAGGAGCTCAGGACACTGCAAACATCATAAATATGAGTCTGAATTTTGATCATGTGACCATGGGGATGCTGCAATGGTCGTAAGTGTGAAAAATGATCATAAGGCACTTTTTTCAACGCTGTTGTAACTTCGAATAGTCACTAAATGAATTGATGTAAATCGAGGACTACATGTAGTGGCCCCAATTCTAAGAGAATTTGACCATAGAGATATATTGTGTACATGTGTGTGTATACACACACACACACACACACACACACACATATATATTTATACACACACACATATACATATATATGTTAATATATACTTATTATATGTTAATATAATCTTGAATGAATAAATATTTATCTCTCTGCCCAACTGTTATAACTGTGTGTGTTACGCATTTTCCATACATCCATAATTAATGCATAGTTTGTGTGTGTGTCTGTGTCTGTGTCTGTGTGTATGTGTTGCAAATTATATTTGAAAAGGTAACGGCGGCTGACAGAAAAGCACTATATAATGAAATAAAAAGGCTTAAGAAAGCTGAAGAGCAAGCAAGATTGCAGGTACAAAGGTAAGTGCACAAGGATGTATGTATAAGACAATCATGCCATATTTAAAAAATTTATAAATGTCCCTCTTTTCTTTTTTTCAGACTTCAGAAGGAATTAAGTGAGTTGAATCAATCTTGGGAATTAAAGTTTGATATTCTAAGGAGAAGGTATTATGTTACTAATAATATCTATTTGATGGTATTAACACATCATACTAAGCTTTGTGTGTTTGCTTTGTTGAACCCATCATTGTGGCCTATTTCACCCATAACCCTTAGCCTGCAAAGTACAACACTCACACATAGTAACAACAAAACCTCTTTGGACATTTGAAATTGTTGGTAAAATACATACGCAACTAGAATTAGTCCAGAATCCTATAAGCAAATTACATAAACCTTTTTGTGCATTACCTAAACCACAGTTAAAATTAGTAGGCCGAGAAAACACTATGATTTCAAAATGCACTTTATCCTTCATTGAAATACTGAAGAAAGAAAACTAAAAGGAATTTGCAGAATTTGCAGAAGTCCAGCCCGGCTGCTTCTCCTACAGCAGAAGTCTCCAACACAGCTGCTTAAGACTTGTGGACTTCAACTCACAGAATTCCATCAGCCAGCTCTTCCCCCCCCCACACACACTTTGCTGAAATCAAGATATATTACATCGACCGCGTACCTGCTATCTATTAAGAAAATTATCCCATTTTTTTAAAAAACACACAATAAAGGTAGTTTAGTAGCCACATTTGTTTCTTATCCATGCTGAATTCTGGTAAAATTTTGGCTGGGGAATTCTGGGAAGTTAAAGTCTGGAAATCTTAAATTTGGAGCCTTCTGTTTCACAGCTTTGTTCCACCGGACCCCCCAAGGAAGATGCTTTTTCTTAGTGTCAAGTTACTGGATGCCTTTGCGACCTTCTCCGTAACCAACCTGCATTTTCGTTCCCGGCTTGTTTCAAGCGCATCTTAAACCTGGTTTGCCGTGTTTACTCCTGGATACACCTCAGTTCTAGGAACGCCCGGCTTGGCTTTATACGTTTGCTCTTTTTTGCAGAGTTCATTATTTTTGTAAAAAGGTTATTTTCTAAATAAATGGCATTGTGAGTTGTTTTTAAGCAAGGGGCAACCCTCCCCCCACCCCCTCTTCTTCCTTGTCACTGGCATTTGTTACAACGTGTTAACTTCTAAGTCTGTGAAGGACTAAACGATTTGTTGAAAAACTGGTCTATCAAAATTGGGGATTTTAAGGAAAATAGTTTTTATTCATTTTATTTATTCATTATGAAAGTTAGTTGCCATTTGTCCTGCCTTAAAATGACTACGGGTTACAGTTTACAGCATAAAACATTAAAAAAGAATTAAAATAAAATAATTGGTTGTAAGACAAATATATATATATATAAAAAATAAAAAAAATAAAAGGAATTTGCCTGAGGAGAAAAATAGAGTCAGACTCATAAAAAATAGAGTGTTCTTCTCTGAGAAGTCAGAGAAACTCTGAGGAATTGTGTGTTGAGAGTGAAGTATGAAAAACTCATTTTTCCCCCATTTCCTAAATAGTGGATAATTACAAGAACTGTATCTTGGGAGCTGCTGTCTGTCTAGGTGGATGACTCCTTATTAAGTAAGCAGAGACTGAAAGAGCAATATCTGGCAGCCTAGTTCCAAGGAGGAGTTAAATGAATGAGCAATCAGGAATTTACCTGAGGATGTTGGTGGTTGGGGAATGTATGTGCAAATTTCCCCTCTTTTAGGTGTTTGTACAATGCATGAAGAGATGCAATCATAATGACTGATGGTAATGAAACATCTGCAAGCAAACAATCAAGCTCAGAGAGCACCAAGAACTCCATGGTCAAAATATGCAATTTAGTCTTGAAGACTAAATTTGTTTGTGGATAAAGGATTTTCGGACAGATAGGCCACAGTTAGGATGGGATCTCACCATTCCTCTACTCTGATAGTAAGCACGGGAGCCCCCCAGGGTTGTGTGCTAAGCCCTTTCTTTTATTCCTTGTACACACATAACTGCACTCCATTGTATAACACCAATGCAATTATTAAATGTGCGGATTACACGACAGTGGTGGGGCTCATTAATAAGAACAATGAGTCTGTTTATAGAAAGGAAGTACAAGGGCTGACATTGTGGTGTAAAGAAAATAATCTTACACTAACATCAAAAAAAACTAAAGAACTTATAATTGACTTCAGGAGGAAGAGAGATGTATATTTACCATTGTACATAAATGGTGAGGAGGTGGAGAGGGTTGATAGTTTTAAATTTCTGAGCATTTATAAGGATCTCTCATGGACCATGAATGTTAACATGCTTGTGAAGAAGGCACAGAATAAGCTATACTAACTGAGAATGCTCAGGAAGATAACTCTATCTCAGCATCTACTTCTGTCCTACTATCGCAGCACCATTGAGATTGTCCTGACATACAGCATTCTTGCATGGTATGGGAGCAGCTTTGTAGCAGATAAAAAAGCTCTATAGAGAATCATTAAAACTGCCCAGAATATCATCGGACTCCAGCTACCAGCCCTGGACGACATTTTCGAATCTCACTGTTTGAGAAAGTTGCATAACATTCTCAGAGATTTTTCCCATCCTGCTTACAATCTTTTTGGAGTGTTGCCTTCTGGCAGAAGATACAGAACAATTAAAACTCGGCCCACACATTTTCTGAATAGTTTTTATCCCAGGGCTATAATTGCACTCAACAATGAACGAAAGGGCCACCATCAGTGAGCTGCTGGACAGCATTACTTGGTCTGTTGTGTGGATGTTTGGGTGGTTTAGGGGTGGGGAATTGTGGTGGGTGGGAGTGTGTTTGGGGATTGTTATGTGTGTTGGACCTGGTCTTTGAGTGTTAAGTGAATTTCGTTGTATGGGTATACTGTGTATACATATACAATGACAATAAAGTTATTATTATTATTAAGACAGTAGATTTTACTCAACTTTAAAAATTGAAAGCCAGATCTTATGACAGGAGAAACCAATAGGAAAAGATGCTCAGTATCCATGGGAACTCCTAAAGAAGGAAACATGAAAAGCAAAATTGAAAGAAATTTCAGTGAGGAGAAAAAATATGAAAGAAAGCCAATATGGCTATGCAAAAAACTTGCTAAAGACATGAAAACAAAGCAGGACACATACAGGAAATGGAAAGATTGCCAGATCACAAAGCAAAATACAGACAGGTAGCCCAGAATTGTAAATCTGGTGTCAGAAAAACGAAAGTTCAGAATGAGCTGATGTTGGCTAAGAATGCTAAGACCAGTCAAAAGGTCTTTGTTAAATATATTTAAAATAAAAGTTAAAATAGTCACACAAACTGCCTAATAGAAAAGGCAAAACGCTAACAGCTAACAAAGAAAACTATTTAATTCCCATTTTGTTTCTGACTTTTCTAACAAAGAAACTCTATGTATTCAACCAGGAAATGGCAAAGCGTAGGATTGAAGTTTGAAATTGATATAAACTGGAAATATTTTTCACACTAAATTTAAATTTTCAGGACCAGGTGAAATATATCCTAGGTCCTGAAACAACTAGCTGATACTCCAGTTAAATCCTTCTGTTCTTGAGAAATCCCCGAGAACTGTTGAAGTGCAAAAGCTTAAGAGGAGGCAAATATTGCTACCTCCAAATATGGGGTGGGAGAGGGAGAATTTCAACATTCCAGACTGTAAAGGCAAAGGATATTTTGTTATAATATTTAAAAATAGCTTGTGATAGCATTTGTCCAATTTGCTATGAGGAAGGCTGGAATTCAAAGTTTTTTGCTTGTTAAGCAGTAAAGTTGACTGTTTTTGAATCTATGGGGACTTGAAGAAATAATTTGCAATGGGACACTGAGTGGAGGGGTGCAATGTCTTGGGGAACTTCTATAAAACTTTCAGTTTCAACCCTACTCTGATAAAAATGAAGCTGCAAAGAGGCAGTCATTTAATTAATTTAAAATTTTGATTCTTTCCATTTATTTCTAGCCTGCATGCTATTAAGAATGAGATGTATCTTAGACAATCACTGCAGCAATCAGTGAAATTCCGACGCCCATTACTGAGCGAAAGGGTAGGTATAATAGATACCCCTGTTCCATAATTTTTTTTTCTTTAAATCTAAAAGCACATGATATTTTTGTAATTCAGAGTACAGAAGGGACCTGCTTTCTGATTTACGTGGCTCTTCTGATATTAGCATGAAGCCTAGTTTGGTGGGGGAGAGACAGCAAATTTGACCTTTCGTTTGAGGTGTTCTTTGTTTTGTGGCATGCTTCTGTATATCATCTCCTGCATGGATGTAATACTATCTCTTGCAAGTTGTGACCTATTTGGTGAATTAGGAGCTCTAGATCACACAATGTCATAGGTTCGCCATCACGGGTGTAGGGTCTCCTGCTTGAGCGGGGGGGAGGGGGTTGGACTGGATGACCTATAAGATCCCTTCCAACTCTGTTAATTTGTTTAATCTTGTCCTTCTGATTTGGAGAATGAACATTATCTTTCATTTGTCTTTTAGTGGCACTTGTTCTTAATATGAACACCAGTGCCAACAATGATTCCTTCATAAATCCACATTTCAAACTTTTCTATAATTTCATTTTTAATAATGATTTTGAAAATGCTAGGATAGTGCATGAATTAGGGCATGAGTTTTCATTGGCCTCTGAATCGTTTGAATTATGTTTTACTTTTCAGAAAGCTTTGCCTATACACATCCAGAATCGAGTTCAGAATCCTCCACATAAACGCCGTTGGATCTCAAGTACTTTGTATATGCAGTATTCACCTCTGGTGTGTAATTTAACATATGGCTAATAATTTTGTTGCTAGTGCGGCTAACTTTCTTGCCACTCAGTCAAAGCCTGAAATATTACTAGCATGCTCAAAAGTGATGGTAAAGTATTGTAAATTCACAATCCAGGCTGCCCACAATTACTTGTAGCTTTTGTCAGAATTAAGAAAACAACCCCATGGCATTACGATGTAAGCTCTTCCCCTTTTGTACACGCATGTGGTATCACAATGAATATAGAAAATGGGCAGAGCCTGCCATGATGTCACAAAGCTGCCCCTCCTTGCCCCCCCCCCAGGACGCTGTCACAATCCCTATTTGCCATACAGTTCTCCAAGTTAGAGATACAATCAATTCTGAACTTATCTTCAGAATAATCTTGCTATTTGGTTTTTAATATATATAGAGGTAGTCCTTAACTTATAAGCATTATTGGGACCAGAATGTCCACTGTTAAGTAGGATTGTTGTTAAATGAGTTGCATTCGATTTTACAACTGTTTTTGCTACAGTTGTTAAATGATTCACTAAAGTTGTTAAACAAATCCAGCTTCCCCCATTGACCTTGCTTGTTGGAAACCGGACGGGAAGGTCACAGATGGTTGACTCGTGACCCCAGGATGCTGCAGCTATTCTAAATACAACTGTAAATTCAGGCCAAGCACCTAAATTTTATCATATGATTATGGAGATGCCACAATGATTGTGACAACTAGTCATAAGTCAATTTTTTTTAGTGTCATAATTTTGAATAATTGCTAAACAAATGGCTGTAGGTGGAAAATTACTCATATGAGATGCTGAAAGTGAAAATCATTGGTCCACATGCATTCTGAAGCTCGTGCTTTTTATTTGTTTATTTGCGTTAACAATTTATAGAGCTATCCATCTCACTGCAATGCCACTGGGTGGTTTACAAGGATTGAAAGAATCATAACAGTGTTGTGGAAAATTCAGACGATAGCACAATACTAAGATGAAATGGCCGTCTGCTCATTCAATAATCATTGGGTCCCAAATTTACAATAATGAAGAACCTCCCCATAAAATGGGAAATCAAGCATTTTATACAGGTTTTTTTTAAATTTTGATTTATATGCCGCCCTTCTCCAGAGACTCAGGGCGTCTTACAATGCATTAAGCAATAGCCTTCATACTTTTGTATATTTTATACAAAGTCAGTTTATTGCCCCTACAAACTGGGTCCTCATTTTACCTACCTTAGAAAGGATGGAAGGCTGAGTCAACCTTGAGCCTGGTGAGAATTGAACTCGCAGTAATTGCAGTCAGCTGAAAGCTAAATACTACCTTTAACAGTAGCATTAGTCTGCTGTGCCACTCAGGCTTTTATATATATAGTTTAAGGCTCCAGGGTGGGAATTTTCTTTGAAACAAGTACTAGAAAGGAAAATAGGTAGCTTCCATTAAATCAGTGCTTTGTAAAATTTCATGCCCTTTTTGACATCCATTTTATGAATTAGCAGACATGTCTTCAGCCTCCAGCTTGGGAAAGTACCTGCAACATGGACTCAAAATTCCATTTTGGCCCAAGAACTCTGAAAGTCTGATTAATCTTGCTTTGTGTTAGCATCACTTTTTTTCGAACGACTGGATTCACCTATTGTCCTAAGGCACGGGTTGTTTAATTGTGGTCCATTAAACAAACTGCAATGGTAATAAATCATGCTTTGCAAATCTTAGTGGCTGGATTCACCCAACACACTAAACCAAAACAGAACAAGCCATGCTTTCTTCAAGATAAATTAACTCAATCAGAATGTTTAAAATACATATTAAAGTTGCAATGTCAAGAACTATATTTTCTCTGTTCCACTTATATATTTATTTTGCTCAACATTTCTACAATTTATCAATCCTCAAATGTTATAATATGTATTAACATTACCATATCAATCAACCATAATATATGCACTGATTCTCTTTAAAGTTTCTTGTAATTTAATTGTATAAGACTTTTTAATAACAAAATATTTAATTTCAGCCGGAGATAACTGCTGAGATAGATGTTGAGTCAGGTGATGAAGAACAAAATGATGATAACAGTCCAGTTACAACTGAAGTACCCAACACTTTAACACAAGGCAAGTAATTCTTCTTTAACATATGGCAAGTGTCCTCCTTCTCATTTCATGTGGCATCAATTATCTTGGTTACTTTTAAATCTTACAGATTTCTATTTATTTTCTTGATGATTATAATGTAAACAGATTCCTCAATTTAAAAACAATTCCCATAATTCTGTTGTTTATTTCATATACCATCAAAAGCAGTTAAACTTTATTTTTCAAGACATTCTTCTGTATTGCTCTTTATACTACACAGAACTGGCTGCAAGAGCTAGAAATACTCAGTCTTTGTGTGGGGTGAGTGTATATAAAATAACCAATTAAGGTTGCAATCCTCCCTAGGTTGAGGGAGGGGAGTTTCACTACAGACATATTAGCTTATTGCAATAGACACTATCACAAGGGCTTCCAACAGTTAATATTCTGCACAGATAGTGTGTGATGCTGGCTAATCATATTTGTAAACTTCCAAAACTTTAATAAACCCAGTGTCTTTGTTAGTAGGACTGAGCAACAATTCAGATTCAAAATAGACATTCTCTAAGGCAGAACACCAATCAATATATTCTTCCCTGCTCTAAGTGTAAAATATTCAATCCAAGCAAAGTTATTTTGCTGTTTGAAGAAAATCTTATAGATGAAATTCATCTACCTTGGTATTACTAGAAATACCACAGTCTCTACACCAGACGATATGTTCTTAGTCTTGGCTTATAAACCATCGTCTACCATCTGACTACTAATCAAATCTGGTCCCACTTGGTTTCCTAGCCCAGGAAAAATCAACCAGAATAAAGAATAAAGGACTAGGGGAAACATGATAGCAGTGTTCCAATATCTCAGGGGTTGACACAAAGAAGAGGGAGTCAAACTATTCTCCAAAGCACCTGAGGGTAGAACAAGAAGAAATGGGTGGAAACTAACCAAGGAGAGAAGCAACTTAGAAGTAAGGAGAAATTCCCTGACAGTTAGAACAATTAATAAGTGGAACAACTTGCCTCCAGAAGTTGTGAATGCCCCAACACTGGAAATTTTTAAGAAGATGTTGGATAACTATTTGTCTGAAGTGGTGTAGGGTTTCCTGCCTGTGCAGGGGGTTGGACTAGAAGACCTCCAAGGTCCCTTCCAACTCTGTTATTCTATTCTATTTGGTTCAAATAGGCTTAATTGTAACAAATAAACATGTAGACAAATCACATGAATATTTACTGAAGTCCCATTAGGAATATGAGCAGCAGTTATTAGATTAAAAACTTTTATCCACCTGACCAAGTATTATCTGGTCTGTCTAGCAATAGGACATCTTTTACATCATCTGATTCATTTAACTAGAGCAATGTTTTTCAGATTTGGCAACTTGAAATAGCCTTCAACTCCCAGAATTCCCCAGCCAGTATGTTGTTTCAGGAATTCTGGGATTTGAGAGCCACACATCTTCACATTGAGAAACACTGAACTAGAAAGAAATCAGGAGATTCCTCTGATAACTTCTGAATGCCAAGCATATGCTTGATCCAAAAGCTAAATGATCCATCCCCTCTTCTTACTTATTTAGAGGTAAGCCATATGTAAGTTCATATAGTAATAAGCTAAATCATAATATGAATCTATTGGTTTTGATTTAATGTGTTGTGTGAATGTAGCTATTGTGACTTACAAATCATTGTTACAATTTAAAGTGATGTGAATCCATCCAACTGTGATTTATTGAATAAATCATGGTTTTAAAATAATGGTTTAACCTAACAGGTGACAACTATCATTTTGATCAATATGATTAGTCCTAGACAACTATGTAAACTGTAGTAGCAACTCAGGGAAGATCAATTGCCTCATCATCATTTTCTGCTTTGCTTTGGAGAACTTTATTATCTCTTCTCAATCAGTGATAAAATAGATAGTGGCAACATCCAAGCTTTTCACCCTGTGAAAAGAAAATCCCATGTTTACTTTTCCGGACTGAAGAAGACTTTTCTCACAGTCTGGTAGCCAGGCAGTATTTGCTCTTTGTTATCTTTAGAAACAGTCTTAATGAGTAAGAAAGACACGAACCCCTAAGATAAAACTGCCAAGGAATACCAACTCTTTGCATAGTTTGTCAAAAAGAGAAAGCTTAAACAAAACTATCTGATGCACAGAAGCAGCTCAGGTTAGTTTGATAGATTGCATTGTTTGTTTCTTCTTCTTTTTCAGCCCAAACAAGTCAAAAAGATCAGATTTAAAAGCTAGGGGAAGTCAGGACTTTTTATAAAATAAATTTAAAATCTGTATCTCATTTATTAATGAAAACTCTTCGAAACACAACATTTAGATCTGTTGTTATGTAATATTAGATCTTCTGTTCAAAGTGGAGAATTTCATCAGAATAAAAATTTCAAAATTATGGAATGGGATAAATTACCTATGATCCTGTCATAATTAAATACTTTTAAGAGTTGGGATTACCTATGAAAAGTTCATCATTAGTTATAACACTTTCCCATTGCAACCAAGAGAACAAGTTGACTTGATTAATGAACTACAATAAATATGAATTACCAATTAATATTGTTTAGATTAATCTTCTCAATTAAGGTACCCTTCAAACAGGGGTGAAATCCAGCAGGTTCTGACAGGTTCTGGAGAACCAGTAGCAGAAATTTTGAGTAGTTTGGAGAACTGGCAAATACCACCTCTGGCTGGCCCCAGAGTGGGATGGGAATGGAGATTTTGCAGTATGTTTCCCCTGGAGTGGGGTGGGAATGGAGATTTTGCAGTATCCTTTCCCTGCCATGCCCACCAAGCCACGCCCACCAAGCCACACCATGTCCACCAAGCCACGCCCACAGAACCGGTAGTAAAAAAAATTAGATTTCACCACTGCCTTCAGATTGTTGAATTTCAGATCCATAATCCCCTGCTAAAATAGCCAGAAGGGAAGAATGGTTTATTTTACCAGGCTAGAAATGAGGAGATGGTGACTTCCAGATGTACCTTAGCACTGAAAAATTGGCTGGGTGACTTTGAACCAGTCACTCTCTCTCTCAATCCGACTCGCTCACAGGATTGCTGTTGTGGGGAAAATAGGAGGAGGAAGATGAATTGGTTATGTTCACTGCCTTGAGTTATTTGTAGAAATAAGGCGGGATACAAATAGATAAATATAAATAAATAAAATAAGAGAGATGAAACTATGGACCTACAAACCATTCGTCAGGTATATACAGGTAATCCTTGACGTAACAACTATTCGTTTAATGACTGTTCAAAGTTACAGTGGCACAAAAAAATGACTTAGGACCAGTTTTCACAGTTATGACCTTTTGGCATTCCCAGAGTCATGCGATCAAACTTTGGGTGTTTGTCACTCAGCATGTATGTATGATGATTGTAGGATCCTAGGTCCTGAGACTGTCATTTCTTCTCCCTAAGAAACTTCTTAAGGAGCTTCTGACAAGCAAAGTCAATGGGGGAAAGCCAGATTCACTTAACAACCATATGATTCACTTAACAACTTCATGCTTATCAACCATTCAAAAAAGTCATAAAATGGGGCATGATTAATTTAACATCTGTCTTGCTTAGCAATGGAAATTTTTGTGGTCGTAAATCAAGGACTTTCTGTACTGCTCCTTTGATCAAAGAAAAGAGCATGACCTTGGTGTTGCTTTAAAGCCACAGTGAGAAAGGAATATTATTTTCTACCTTTTCTGCCTGGATAAAGAAGTTCCAATTTTCTGAAAAAGGATGCTGGATTTAATAGGCAGATGGTCTCATCAAGCAGGCTATAAGGTTTTGATACTTTTTCTTTAAAATTTGATAATGAGCTGGACTGTTGTTTCAAAAAGAGAAAACAAAATGCAGAAATAAACTTTTATTTCAATGAAGGGAAATAGGGATCTGCATCTCGTGCTTTTCTACTTCTTTATAAATTAAAATGTAGTTCAGTTACATAGGTGCAAAATAATTCCCATAATTTAACCTTGAAAGTTATGAAACCTAAACTGTAGCTAAAGGGAAATTATCTTGGGTCAAAGAAGATAGCTTAATGAAGATATTGAATCAGAGGGCAGCATTGATGAAAATTTCATGGTAAGGATCATTAGGAAAGGAATTGAAAATAATATTGCCAATATTATAATGCTTTCCTACAAATATATAACATTTACTGCATCTGGAATACCATATATATGTCTGATCGGCATGCTTGAAAAAAGGCATAGTAGAGTTGAAAAAGTGCAGAAAAAGACAAACAAAACATCTAAAGATGTTAAATACCTTCTATAGAAGAAGTGACTAGAACATACAGGACTTTTTTAGTGTAGAACAGGGATCAGCAACCTGCAGCTCTGGAGCCGCATGTGGCTCTTTCACCCCTCTGTTGTGGCTCCCTGTCACTCAAAATATGTGTCATGACTGCCAATGACACCCACCGGCATGAGATTTATTGAGCTTTTCATCCCCCCTGGTAGGCTAACCATGGATAAATCCAAGAAAAAAACAGTTTCAGAAGAAAACAGAACATTTATTTCAACTAGATATGCTAGTTTTGTGGCCGCTCAAGAAATAGTCAGGCACGGGAAGGGTTTTGTGGCTCCCGGTGTTTTCTTTTCTGTAGGAAATGGGTCTAAATGGCTCTTTGAGAGTTTAAGGTTGCAGACCCCCGGTTTAGAAAAAAGAGGGGCAAGAGGAAAATGGTCAAGATATATCAAACCATGCTGTCATCGTCATCAGCCATTCAGTCGTGTCCGATTCTTGGCCATTCTATGGATCAACTCTCCAAGCCCCTCTGTCTCTCACCACCTTCTTCAGATCTGCCATGGTCATCCCGGTGTCATCAGGCCATGTAAAAAATAGATGCAACCAAGTTTTCCTCCTTCTCTCAAGCCTAAGAACCAGAAGTCACCTATTGGGAAAGACATTTAGAACAGACAAAAGAAAATTCACCATCACACAGTGCATAATTAATCTGTGGAAATTATTACCGGTGAACTGAGTGATCTCCATTAACCTGGAAAATTTTTAAAGCTTTTTAG